ATGAGACTGCACAATGTTCTCAAACCAAAAGAAGAACTAAAAACATAACAAGATTACAACATTCAGGCATTAGGTTCGGTGTAGCACATGCAGTAAAGCAAAAGATCATGCTGAAAGTACTACAATTATAGATTTTTCAAGTATATAGGTAGATGAAAACATTAATTTCGGTCAAAACTAGTTTCACAGAGTGACCAAGAGGATCAAAACTTTTAAAAAAGTCATTTATAGTCAGACTGTTTTCAATCACTTCTTTTGTAACACCATCTAGCCCTCTAAGATTCAGAGAGGGTGTTCTGAGTCATGATCTGTTGCCATTAAGGTCAAAGGGAGTCCATTACTGTCTTCAAAAGACATGGAAAAATGCTCCTGATTTTCATCTTACTGACTGCTCCATTAATATCCAAAACTAGAGAGCTATATGCCACTGAGCAGTTTCCCAGCAGATACCCATTTTCAATCCTCAGTTTCAGGATCCAGTGCCCCAGATCATGTCCAAATCATATTCTTTAAAAACAAACAAACAAAACAAAACTCTTCCTGATCTCTGCTAGGGCACTTCTAGTTGCAATCTTGTCTTATTTCCCCTTTTACTTCACGGCTCTGGGTTATTTATCCTCAGTCTTCTACTTCAGAGCAGTATGTCTGTACAGATGAATTACAGACATCCCATTCCAGCTCTGGTCTTTTCTGTCCATTCAAAATTGGCCCTCTGACTCTTTCCTCCAATATCCTTCTTGCTAACCACGACAAACCTAATACCTAAAAACAAATGCTAACCTGAAAAAAACCCCAAAACAAAACCTCAAAAGCCTGTTCTTGGTTATAATAGGTAATTGCCATATTTTTCAGATTTATAAGTCAACTCGAAGTTGTGTTTGCCTATTCCTCCCTCATCTCCAGAAACATCCTTGCTGAATCAGGTAAACTTAACCAAACAGAAATATGGTCTTCCACCACTGCATTCATAAAAGATCTGAACCAATGAACGGAAACATGCATGATGATATTGTATATGTATACTAGGCATACCCGACATGCATTCATCTTGATTAAATACATAGCTTACCCTTCTGCCCATGACGACTGCTAAACTTATCTCCAATTTCTGGACGTCTAGTTTGCCTCAGCAACATTTTGATCAAAAAAGCATCCTCTGCATTTGATGAAATCATAACTTTTTCGATATAAGAATCGGTCGCACCTTTGTAGCTAGTAAAAGGAGAAAAAGCACAACTTTTAATTTTATGACACAAACACAAGTTTCAAACAAGTATCTCTGTGTCTGTAAGTTTCTGGCTAAAATGTAGTCTTCATGGGACATCTAATCTTTGCTCCATTAGCCTCCCAAATGTATGTATATAATAAAGAGTTTAAGAGACTAGAATATTTCTGGAAAAGAAAAGGATTAAGAGATACAGTAAAAACAAAGGGAGAATTAAGATGAAGCAGAACAGAACAAAGTATGTTTTGTCACGTGGTTTCTTCTTGACAAAAAAAAATTCCTAGTATATTGCGAATTTCTGGATCTTCTATTAAATAAGCAAACAAAAGCCAAGTAGCGGGTTACAGCTGAAGAAGGGAGCTTAAGGAATATCCTATGAGAATTTAAAAACAAAATTAAGATTTAATATCTTGACTGAAACTATGCATCAGGTGCAGGTGTGGAAATGAACCACAGCCAGAACACAATATGGGGTACAGAAAGATAAGAACTCTGGAGTATTCTTAAGGTTTGAAACCTGAGTACACGTAGCAAGAGATGCAGAGATTCAAGAAAATTAGTAGGCATGACAGAGCAGGAGGGAAAGGGAAATTACTTTGGTATCAGCTTTTTTTCATACACAGCAGAATGACAGTGTATCAGATTCCAGTACTTGATTTAGGAGATTATTTTTTTCTGATGCTGCAGTAGCTAAGATGGCCCAACTACAAACACAGACTCAGAGCCCAGGATCCTTGCCCTGACCTGGCAAGGCAACTTTTTTCCTTTCTTGATAATTACACTCTTGCTTCACTTCTTAACTAACATTTCATAGGCATCTAAACAGAGCTTTCTATTGGTTACGAATCACAGAGAAGTGCTGACCTGGGCGCCAATTGCGTGCCTTGCTCTTTGGTGATTTACCAAACTGCCAAGGCTATTCCTAACAAAACAGTGAAACCCTTCACGTGTATTTATTTTTATTAATGTTAATGCAAAGCATTCACCTCCCACCTCTGAAGCCTTCTCTTGTTCTTTTTGGACACAAAGGGAAAAATCCTTATTGACTGTCCTTTCCTAATCACCGGTGCCTTGGGAAAGGATGTCTGCTCAGAGTGGCCAGAATGAGCTGATCGTCAGTCTCTGAGATAGGAAGACCTCCATCTCCTGCTCTCCTGTTCAGCAAAGAGAGGGCTGAGCATTAATCAGCCTTGGCCATCTTCTGTGGGAGCTGGTATGGAAGAGATGCTCCCTGCCGCACTTTGAGCGCACATGTTTTCTACACCCTCTTACTCATCCCTTGTTTCTCCGCCTCTTCACACGTGATTCCTCTCCCTTCTACCACTGTCTTCACTCTTTCCTCATTTTCTCCTGGGAAACACCTCACTGATTCCTCTCTATACATCTCTAGGAGGGTTCCTCTCTGTCTTGCAACTCCAGCCTCTCAGGTGTCAGGACTCAAATTATTAGGAATTAAGTGGCTATGCATTTCTGAAAATCACTAAGGTTCCAAAAAAGACCCTGTGAGAAATCCAGACCTAGAGGACCAGGTCTAATTTGCAGAAGGAAGTTTATTTCTTTGACTTTTCAGGATTGAACATTTTCTCAGTTATCTTTCCTCTAGGTTACCTTCCTCAAGTATAAAGCTATGATGCAACATACGTTACTGGCACATCTTTGTATTGTGGCTGCTGAGGAACATTACTTCCTTCCAGAGGTGTCTGGGTCACAGTTGGCATAGATTTGTTCACAAGCACTTGCTTATTTTCTACTTTTTCACCTACAAAGAAGAGGGGGGAAAAGCACCATGAAAATGTATATGGCTACCTATGTTAGAAATATATCTTAGACGTTAAAAAAAAAAAAAAAAGATAAGAAGATAAGAAAAGAAGATAAACTAGGAGCGCTACGTCCAGGAAGCAGGCCATGTTACTTTATGAATATTACATGGTATGGGAACCACTGAACTAGAATAAACTAAAAAAAAAAAAAAAAAAAAAAAACCAAACCTGTTTGCACGTTGGGGGCACTGAAAAGAAAACTGCTCAACACACTGCAGAACTAAAGAATACAAAAAAGCATCTGAAGTCATCTGCCATAAGTAAGGGGAAAATTAACAATCAAGACTAAAACTGACAAGTCTTGGAAACTCACATCTAAAATCTGGGACAACACATAATTTCCACAATGAGTTGTGCAGGACTTCTAGTCTCTCCTTCCCTGCTCGCAATTTCCTATTGCTTCTGGTCTCATACATCAGCTATTTCTCCCCTCCATTCCCTTATTCTTCCCTTCACACAGAAGAAGGGATCAGTAGCATGCCCAGCAATAATAACGCGCATCACGTACATTAAGTACCTGCCTCCCCACGCACACACAGTTACACTGAACCTCGACCTATGTCTTTTTTCCGCCCACATTAAATTATTTCAGAAAGGGTTTACTTACCCACTGAGAAGAACAGTACCCATCTGGAGCCTGCCTCAGGCCTATCTGTCCCAATATTTCAGAAGTTTATTGCCTTTTTTATTAATTTAGAAAGCTGAACTCCACTGTGACGTGTTAAAGAGCAAAACTGATCCAATTTTGTAATAACTGAACTACTATAATGGGATTAAGTTTAATGCCTTTTACAATACCTCTGCCACTAGATCTCAGCACATCTATTAAGTTGTTTCCTAACTGAAGGATCCCGGTATGGGAGGATTCTTCCTCATATTTATTTGCATGGGCAAGTTACACACCTATCCTTGTAACTAAATGTAGTTGTATTTTTTTTTTCTTATTCTCTCAAAACATATTTCTAAAGTGCTAAAAATACAAGGTTTTCTTTCCTCATATATCAGCATTAACTGACTAGATGCCAGAAGGTGTGGATATATGAAATCAAAATAGTAAGGAATCTAACCTTAAAAGAAAGAACATGATATATGACAGACTAAGCCATAAAGATCCACAGTATTAAAAGTTTGCAAATTTGGGGATGTAAGACGAATAAAAATTCTAAGGTTTTAATAGAGTCACATTGTTGAGCACTCACAATATAACCACTTCTACTGAAACATGAAGGTCCCCTTCGTCACGCACAATAGAAAACAGTGACAGGTACCATGGCGTTTTCAGAAACTAGTTTGGGTTTTTTTTTTAAATCATCTGTTACAGTTTCGTCCCCTTCAAAATAAAAAACACACCAAGTATAAAACAAGGCTCACAAGAAGTATTAACAGAATGTTAATTTCCATCACAGATTATGTACGTGCCATGAACAAACATGCAGTCTGACATACCTGGAGAGCAGATACCATCAGCATCTAAAATCTCATGGCGCCAGATTGGCTTCCGTGTAGCTGCATCCAACATCGGTCCCATTACTTTATCAAACGTCTGATTAGTGTAACGCTTCAGTGTACACTTGGCATTTTTATAGACAAGACACCTCCCAAATCCTAAAATTTAACGCAAGCTCATCTGTCTAGAAGTCCAAAAATTCTTTGTAACACATTCTCAAAATAAAACAAAAATGTTGAACTATCTGCTTAGCTACAGAATATAAAATATATTTTTAATAGTTAGATTATTCATCGTCTTAAATAAGTACAATATTGCATAAAGAGATCTAGCAGCTACCCCCTTGTTCTTTTTTTTTTTTTTTTTTTTTTTTAGACGTGAGACTTAATTCTGAAGTTCTGCAAATCCCCTTCCTCTACACCTTTGCGCACACGTGCACACAGTGTTTTTCTTACCTGTGGTGGCTCACAGAAGACGTACCATAGGAGGAGGAGCGATTTTAACAGGATCAGAATGGCATCTCTTCCTTTCTGGGGTTTTAAGAAACCTGAACTTTTACTAATGCCACAAGCTGGCTTACCAGAAAAGTGCCCATTGAGTGCATCATGTAATCATGACATTATCACTTTTTTTTCCAGTTGAAAGAAGTCTGGATTATTGTTAAAAAATAGTTTTGTTTTGCTTTTCAGATGAAAAAAAGTAGCATCTCTGGAAATTTTTCTCTGTACAGCAATAAGACTTATTTGCATCTTATTTACAATTAGAGGCAGCCAAGAGCTTTCTAATAATCCTCTGTTATTTTAGCTCATTTGAAAGATGGTCACGGGCACATACAGTACATCTATATCTTTAGATTATGTCAAGTAACTCCTGACAAGCATCACAGCTCTCCCTGTAAATGTTACCAGTCTACCAGAAAAGAAAACATTCAGTTTTAAATCACGCCTGTTGTTGTTTTAGAACAGGAGGCATAAATTAAATGTGGCAGACACTAATGCCAAAGATACATGTCTAGGAATGCTATTATTGCTGCCTAGCAACTAGGAGGAAGGGTGTGTATTTGGGGAATAAACTCGTGGAAGAACCTGATTTTAGCTACCCGAAACTAAAACTAATTGGATTGCACTGCAATGTTGCATCTTCCCTGAAGGGAATTTATTAAAACCAAGAGAGAGGGAGCGCGAGAGAGAGAAGAGAAACTAAGTTTTCAAACAACTCTCCCTTAACACCCAGCAGCACTAACATGGAATTTTCTTGAATTTAAGAAGTGGCGAAGAATTGTGGAGTGTGACTGACACAGGTCACCATGACACAAACAAAGATTTCACTTAATTACCTTCCATTCAGTGATTACGTACTTTTACTTAAAAGACCCTCAGCTACATATATAATTTTTAAAAGGAAGCAGATAATTATTTTTTCTTTGAATAAATAATAGTATTGCCTCAAAATAATTTAGTATTTTCCTTCAGGGCATCAAGTTTATAACAACACAAAACACCACATGTTCCCTTCCTTTTCTGAATACGTTCCGAAGTCTTATTTCATCCATTGCTTTCAATATTGGTGAAAATAACGAGACCTCTCTCTCTGTCAGTAATGAAGGAGGCTCAGGTAACCATCTAGAAAGCAAGCCCCAGACAACAGATTATCTAATACGTTACATTTTATGTAAGCTAAATATTTTCAGAAAAGGATCGTTTATCCTTTGCTATTTAAGGTCAAAAGCTAGCCATTTGTTCTTATAATACCCATAACTCAAAAGTTTATTCATATATCGTAAGCATGGAATTGCAGCCAATCACTAGCACGCAGAAAACAAACAAAAGCACCAAAAGCAGTTTTTGAATTCCATTTCTTAGCTGGAGATGTACTGTTCAAAACATCAATAAAACTGATTATATGAGAACATCGTGAGACAACAAGATTATTAAAGCACACATTAGAGAAGTGGGAAAGAAGAGATGGTTCTTACCTCTGTCCAAAGAGGCCTTGTTTAAGACAAGAGCATCTTCGATATCATAACCACTGTAACTCATGACGGCAACTGTGGCATTCTGTCCAGCAGGCAGTTTCTCAAAATCTATGAGTTCAATTGTTTTTGTTTTTACCATCGGCTTTTGTGGATATGCTAAAAGATACATAAGAGTATCTATCCTGTTCCTTTGATTGTATCCAATAGTACCTGTATGGCGGGAACCAACAGCCTGTGAACATCAGTGAGCTTACTAGAAATGTTTTAGCTATCAACTACCAAATTAACTAAAATCACAAACTGAGGAACCTCATCTAATAACGAAAAGTCTTCAAGAAAAGCATGGGAAAAAAATACACAAGTGATTGAACCAAAACAGTTTTACATTATTATATTTAAATAAAGCTTTAAGTGGTCACTTAATTTAAGCTTCCAGAATGAATTTTTTTACAGGAAAATCTGAGTATCAAGACAAAAACAACAAAAAAAATCAAAGTAAAGTCCTACATGACTGAATGGAATTAATTTTTTTTAATCATAACCCCAAATAACGATACAAATACAAAGTTTGTTTTCACTGCTCTAATAGCAGTAAGGTTAGGGGTTTTTTTTTCTTTCTTTCTTTTTTTTTTTTTTTTTTTGGAGAGTGATGAAATTGTATTCCATAGATCTGATCCAAAATTCATCAGAAGCAACAGAAAGGCTCCCATTGAGTTCAAGAGGAACTCTGGATCAAGCTCTGTGTCTTCCACATCATATTTCCTTCCTTTTTCTGGGCAATAATTAGTTCAACAGCAGCCTGTGTTAGAATGTCACAAAGCATGAACAAAGCATACAGTTAGCAGCAGCCAACACTGATTTACTTTCTGAAATTAGAGGCGTCATTGCTAGAAAGACTACAGTAGAAGTTCACTCACAATATATTTGTCTTTTTACATGAAATTAATTTTAAATTTACGGTTGAGAATTCAATCCTTTGTATAGACCTCCCAGCTTGAGACTGAAATTTTTGGCCCTGTCCCATCAGACTGCCAAAGTGTCTTCTGAAATCTGAGGAAAAAATAATTAACACCCAGCAGGGAAACATAAACTGTTGTGTAGCAGAACAAAAGTAAAGGCAATCATATGTTATTACAGTTTGCTGTACCAGACCGATGCTATGTCTCTAAGCAATTAAGAAATTAAAATCTGAAAAGTTCAAGTTTTAACTATGTTGAAGTTTTAAGTACCGAATCTTTCATAGCATTTGTGCTTAGGAGGTAAGACTTTCAAAAGGATTCCTTTCCTTCAGAGGCTGGTTGTTTGCAGGGAGAAGTCAAAGCAGTCGGTATATAATGAAGATTTTACACAGCCAGAATATAACACAGCTAAACACAAACCTGCTCTTAGGGAAGGCCAACTTCATGTTTTATACGCAAGGACCTGCGATTTCCAAATGCCTGCATTTAAATGTCAGGAAAAACAAAATACCTAAAACCAGTCAGGATCACAGGCAGCGCCGAAGACCTACCCTGTCCTTGGTGCTAAGCTCCTCTTTCCTAAACCACCACTCCTCTAGGCCTGACCCTTCCCAAGGAGGGAACAGGGAGGTATCTCAGCAGATAATGTCCAAAAATCGGCTCTTTTTAACTGGATTGCATGCACACTCTTGCGCTCTTGGGCTTTCCTTCCTTCTAGGAAGCGGACTTGAAGCCACAGGCAGAGCATTTTTATACGCAGAGGAAGTTTGGTACAGCTGACAGGCTTTACTTGTCCCTTGCTTTTGAACACTGGCTTTTCTATCTTTTTCTAGAAGGAAATCATTTATCCTTGAGCAGTATTTTATGTTTGCAGTAAGAAAGAAGCTGGTAGGGCCTAAATCTGTCAACACTGACGACCCTCCCAGTAACCTCTCCTACTAAAGCCCACCACCACCTGAAGGTCTTTTTTTTTTTTTTTTTTTTAACCTCTGCCAGTCCCTCAGCCTAAGCATTACATGTACTTTTCATTATATTTTAACAAACAAACTGTTTTTCCCACTACACAGCAGGGGATATCTACTACCAAATGAAAAACCTCAAAGTTCTAGGCCATTTTCTCCTCTGTACCTAAAGTAATCTGTGTGCTTTCAGGGTAGGCTGCCTGCTGTGGAGTTCATGTGAAAGCTTTAAGGTTAGGTGCATTTTCCTGTAGTTGAGAGAAATCTTCTCCTGACTATACCACATCAACTTACTCTTTTGAAATGCTTGCAATTTTTTTTTTTTTCTCCTCGGGGATGCTTACACGCTGTATCTGCCACGGTTCACTGGTCAGGGATACTAAGACAGGACGAAGTCTGGAGTGTCTGACCATAGCCAAACTTGCCCTTTTCTCATCTAGTAACAATCTGAAGAAGTTCCCTATATGTCAAGGATTACAGCTAATACCTTTACATGTTTCAGGTAATTCAAATGAGCACGTTATTGCTCCCTCAGAATAAACAATGCTTCTCGTGTTTCAAAGGTGGTATTTCTATCAGTGCTTCAGATAAGCCTAGCTGAACTGTTACTGTATATATCAGACCAGGAGCCAGGAGCGACTAATGACATTACTGGCTTTTTGGGCTTCATTACTAAACTGTATTCACGCAATTATTCAAGAGTTGAATGCTGCAGCACATCACATGGAAAACATGCGCGTATACACAATGGTGGATATGCCAGCAGCAAAGAAACTGGTTAGAGAATGATTCAAAAGCACAAGTGAAATAAGTTATCCAAAAAGCATGCTGTACGTCAGCAATATTTGTCCTTAATTGCCACAATTTAATAGTTACACAAATAATGTCTTCTCTAGTCTGGCCTAACAAGCCACAATCTTAAACCATAATCTGCTTATTTAAAATTCAGAACTCCTCTGAAGACTCGTGTGTTGGGACAAGACGTCTGCGTGGGCTGAAGTGAAGGAAGTCACTAGTTTTATTTCTGTTTTCTCTCTGAAAGAACAGAGCCCTTGTTTGCTTCAGCCAAACAGCCAAGCAAAAGTAAAGTATAAGTAAACTTCACTGTAACAAACCCTGTTCACAATGACCCACGTTTATAATCGTGCCAATGGCAAGAACCAATTTTTCTCGTAGGTAATTAGCCCTGCTTAAAGCAAAACCCACAAGGCTGACCTGGATATAACAAAGATCATTTCTTGCTTTTCTCAGTGCTTAGTATACTGTGAATATATGTGTACATTTTTTTCTTTTTTCATTTCCCAGCAAGTTTTTTTTTTTCCTTTAAAGTGTCACTTGATCCTTGTTCAGTGTGAAATAATAACTATAAAAATAGTATATATTGATATTTAGCATAAGTGGGATATTCTTGTTATTCTGATAAGACCAGCTTCCAGAACTCGCCAGGACAAACAGCCAGAAAGACTAAGCATTTATCTAATTCCCCAGGGTATTACTTACAGCAAAATTAAATTGAACAGTCAAAATTAACAAGGGTACAGAAACTAATCAATGTCAGATATGAGCCAAAAGGGCTATTATTGCACATGCCAAGAGAAGAATTGCTGTACTTCTCTATTCACCTTGATTTCACCACAGATTTTCTACTCTTCTGTCCTTTTGTATGAGCAGGAACCAACAGAGAAAGGGGCATCATTTTTAAAGGCTGCACTGAACCTTGCAGAGAGGCTACAACTCAGCTCATAGGGAGTTTCATTTTAAAAGTCTTAATTGATCTGGACATTCAGTATTTCAAATACTCTTTTCACCGTAGAAAGATTAAGAAGTCAGTTAAAAAAGATTACGGGTAAACCGGGGGAAGAGCACGAAAGTCTGGCTCATTTCTGTCTCAGCACTTCTGTGCCCGCTACTGGGGAGAGAAGAGCTGGCACAAAGCGAATGCGTCGTAGAGCACAAACGCTATTCCTCAAAGACTAGCGGCAGAACTGAGCCCTGGCCACAAAACACCCAAGTCCAGCTGTGAAGACCAGTAATAACCGGTTTTGCTTTGACGTTTGCTTAGGTCCCCTGCCAATAGGCTAGCTGTAAAAATTTGGGAGTATTTTAGCTCTCAGCCCACTGGCAAGCCTTTCACAACTATCAAAAATCCACAACCCCCAGCACTCCGTTCCTTGAGGCACATTTGTCTTCTCAGCACAATTTTAACACTTTCAACTAGTTACATCACAAAGCAAAAGAGCATATCAAGGCTTTTCCTATTTCACTGAAGCAATGAAGATGCAGGTGTTACAGTAAGAGGGCTTTTTTTTTTTTTTTTTTTTTAACTGTTAAAGAATTTGCTTCAATGTAGACACCTGCAGCTAAGCTCTCCCTCATCTCTGCACCCCCTAAGCATTTGCTCCTCTTCCACAGGTTAAACAAGTAATAGTTAACACCCTAAATGTCCTTTCCTTACTGTGACTTGCGTTCTCACATCTGTGTAGGAACTGCAGTGCACAGTTGGGCTATGAGAGCCTACAGCTTGCTTTGTGTACCCACACAGGCGTTTCCACAGATGCGCATGTGCGTATGCAATATGCTGGATTACCGGCAGGAAAGTGTGTGTGTTTTCTTTTCCTCCGTTAGGCTTCTGTATAATTCTTCATAGTCACAGAAGTAGAGTATGTAAATTGACTGAGTTTCTATGTGTTACTGCAGTAGCAAAGCCCCACCTAAAATTATTTCTCTATTTCAGGAGCCTTCGATCCTTTTAAACAGTGTTTTAGCAACGTATAGACTGCAAACAATACAGGTTCTCGTATTTTAATCTTGAATGGTTCTCTGATTCTAAGCATCTGACGTTACCTTTGCACTGAAACGTCAACCCTCAACACGGGACCTTGGCAGTTGCAGGTGTATTTGCTACCTAATCTTAACGTTCTCTCAGTCTCACAGTACAACCTGCAACATACGGCAAATTTTCCTGTGCTAAAACAATGTGAGCTTGCATCCTTTCACTGAAATCCAGTTTGCTTGCTAAGCACAGCCCTAGTCCTCCAGCAAGACGATTCATTCTGTCCATGAAATGGAGATATTTTTCAGTACTATCCTGTAGAAGCATTCATATTGTAATACTTAACACACGTCAGTGATACTGGATTAGCGATCCCAC